TACCAAGGTTTCGGCAGCCAGGTAGTATCTTTAGCCCTCATTGCCTAGTGCACGAATTTGCACAAAGTAGCTGAATGCACTTCGATCCCATTTCTTCATGATATTGTTTGTGTGTGATGAAAGTATAACTGGAGCAGTGTTATTGTTAGGGTAGGGTTTCTGTACATTCACTAGATGAAGTGACTGGTACTTGTATTGGGCATAATGAACCACCACCTCCTCCTCGATATATGGTGCTGGTCAAAGTAGGATGAATTTGGAAGTTAACATCTGTTAATTAAACGAAAATGTGACATCAATTCATGAGGCCTCTGATTGCTTACTCGATATTTATGGTAGATGGGGGGGATGTTGACCGTTTGGCTGTTTTAAAGTAAAGACTCCTGGTAATATGATTCAACATCGATCACACGGATGTATGAATTCAACATTCTTCCGAGTATTTTTATCACTTCTCATTTATTTATTGACTATAAGTGTATGAATATGAATGTTTTTTCTAAGTCTCTTGATAAACTTATGTGAGTTTTTTTTTTCAATTTCTTTCCAATCATCATACCCTTTATTGCGACACCTTAAGCAATGAACGATCCCTTCAAGTTGTTTACGTTGTTTAACGGAACTATGCACTATCTTTACAGGTTGTATTCATTACGAGACGCTTCAAGCAGAATGCACCCACGACCCGTCCAGGGATCGAACTCACGACCTTTGGGTTTCATGGCGAACCCCTGAGACTGATGTCAGTCTATGATGAGAACTACTGCTAAATTAAAAATCCCTATTCATCTCAAAAATACCTTACTGTATAGTGCTCATCTGTGACATGCTTCCAGATGGATATCATGAAGTTCTAATGAGAAGCCGTGACCTATCGGGTTAACTAGTCGGAGGGGAAGCGGATTCCAATTGAAGACTTTGGATGATAGTCGCACTATACTGTGAACTGATAGAAGTTGGATCTGTGAACTACTGAAAACCTACCCAGTGGCTGAATGGTTAACGTGTTCGCCGAGAAACCTGAAGGTCCTGAGTCCGACCCATGGCCAGCCAGGTCACCCATACATTCAGATAGACCTAGGGCCAGGAATTACTGCGCAACGGCCCGAAATGCCACACTTCATATCAGTACATCAAGTAAACAAGGTAGTGAAGTGGAAGATGAAGAAAAGAAAATCCAGTCAAAAGAAATATACAGTACGAAAAGAGAGAAAGTAAGAATGAAAAAATGGTGAGATTCGGTATAGCGTCGTTAAGATGAGGATAATGTATACATACATCTGCGCCACTGACATCGGTTCCGAGCCATATCACCTAGAGTCTCCAACCACTGGTTTCTCTTGTCCCATGGACCCCAACGGACTAGTCTGCATCGCCCCACATAGCTCAAACCAATAGTCAGAGACTTCATACATTGGTGCCATGTTTTAGTCTAGCCATCTCGGGCCTTTTTCCAGTCTGAACCTACTTCAGCCAACATTGTGTGACGAGGAAGACGGTGACTAGGCATACGTAGTATGTGTCAGAGTCAGAGTCAACCATCTCAGTTGATGAAGGTTCACAACAACCGTGTCAACTGATTTACCTCTTCTCCCTAAAACTCTACACCTGATCCTGACTTCTGCATTACTCAGGTGGTGACACCACGGAATATGGCCTATATATACTACGAAGGCAATGGTGCTCAAACACTGGAAGTCTTCTCATGTCTTCCACCTTCAGTGACCATGTTTCACAGCGATAGAGTAGAACAGAGTGTACTGCTGTGCAGTACATGTGACCCTTAACCGACAATCGGATATCACGGTGGTGCCACATGTGGTGTAAGCTGACAAAAGCCTGTCGAGCCTTTTGTATCCGTGCAGAGATTTCATCGGCCACTGAGCTAGCTACCAGAGCAGGGCTGATCCCACTTTCCAGGTAAGTGAAGTGGTCAACACCCTCAACCACTTCACTCTCTATTGTTATCCGAGGCACCGTTAAAGACCAATCGTAGAGTAACAATTTGCATTTGGGTGGTCAGAAGTGCATGCCAAACATTGTTAAATTGCCACTCAAAGTGTTTAGAAGACTCTGTATCTTGTCAGCGTCTTCATCTAACAGGACTATGTCATCTGTGTATTGTAGGTCTAAAGAAAATTCTGCTGCAACTAGGTCAACCTCTGTGTAATCGGGCGACGTAATGGAAGACCTCCATGAAAATATCTATGCTAAAATTGAATAAGAATGGAGACAGTGATACCCGTGACGAACACCACTCGATGAGTATAGCTTCGTGGACATCTCACCATAGGTTTTAGTACGCCCACAAGTGTTCGAGTAGAGAACGTTTAATAAAGTGATGTACTTACTAGGCACCCCTTTCTGTGGGAGACATTGCCATGAGACTTCTCGATCAACAGAGTCGAATGCCGCCTTCAAGTCGAGAAATACAGCTATTATTTTCCAAAACCTGGGTCAGTGTGAATATTTGGTCGATACATCCACTGTCAGATCTAAAGCCTGCTTGGTGGTTGGTGTGTACCGCTGAGATGTCTCATGCTGGAACCAAACAGCTGTCCTTATTCATCTTAAAGATCCATAACTATCTTTACGCTGATTGATATTATAGTTATTTACAGGCTTATAGTTATCGACCTAAGTTGAACATCGACAATTTGTTTATCATTTCAATTCATTGTCAAACATGACTCATGCACTGGAATTTGTCAATGCACCATAATTATTAAAAAAAATTGGTCAATTAAAATTTTTTATATTACTAAAAGTGTGGTATGTGAAAAAATTTAGGATAGTGTAGATTGTAGTATAATCGCTTGTTTTATACCGTCGTTGATTGGACCTCATTGATCAGTCTCTATTGGCATATGGGCTCCTGTCCGGATGCCTCGATATTACCTGTGTTTTAATTACATATAGTAATGATGGATAGTGGGTAGCACTGGAATCCAGCTTGACGCACATTTCATCCTATTCGGGACTCGTCAGCTGGATATGCATGTTTCCCAGTGAGTGATGTTGTTCCTACCGGGATACGGACTCGGGACCGATCGGTTCAAACGCCAGAGCGTTATTTACTACACCACCGAGCAGCGATAGGCAGTTCTTGTGCCATCAATTCGGTCCAATCTACTCTGGGATAATATAAGCAACAATACTAAAAGCTATACACGTCACATAAGAAGTGGTTATCGTGGCACGGTGGTCTAGTGGAAAATGCTATGGCTTTTGAAGCGATCATCCACGAGTTCGAGTCGCGATGGGAACAACATCACTCACTGGGTGGCAGGGATATCCAGCTGACGAGTCCCAAATAGAACGAAGCGCGCATCAGGCTGAATTCTACTGCTAGTCACTATTCATCGTAAAACTATTTCCACTTTATGAAGTGTTCAGTTATGCAATAAATCGTATAAAATAATCGCACTCAACCACGTTGTCCATATCTGTATATTAGACGATGAGCCATGTCCACCTGGGTGCCCGAGTCTTGGTAGGTGGGTCGGGGCTCAAACCTATGACTCAGTGGTTGATAATCATTTCCCTAAACCACTTGGCCACAGCTGCACAAAAGGCAGATTATTGCCTATCTAATGTGACTTCAAATTTCACTTATCAAAGCAGATACACTGAAAGAATAGAGAGGGAGGGAGAGACTTTGACAGCTATTCGTTTCCTTGGTCATATTCCAAAAAGCCAACATCCTACCAAGGATCAAATATCACCAACAGTTAGATTTACTCATCATTTGTTTGAGACGCATGAGGTATGACGCTGACATGAACAACACCTTCACAATCATTAACAATTCTACTTTGCTTAGCTTCGCAAAAGTTATCTCAATATTATGACTCAAGCCTGATATTTGTTTTCGAAACAATTGAATAGTTAACTTAAAAACTACCTTTTGGTGTGAGAAATCAACATGTCTTTTTGGTAGTGAAAATTTAGGACGCGCGTCTCGTCCTATTTTTTGCACTTGTCAGCTGGATGTACGTCCCTCCTAGTGGGTGATATTGTTCGATCGACTGTTTCAAACTTCAGAGCTTCATCCACTTGGCCACCGTGTCATGATAGCCACTTCACACAGCGGCGCATATTCTAATAGAAACCAATCAGCGACTGGATAATACAAGTAATAATCTTGTCCATAAGGCGTCTTGATAGATGAGGAGGAAAGAATTTGATTCGTTGATATTGTCTGATTGTTGTGTTGTAGCATGGTTTGTAAATGTAAACTTTTGAATTGAAACTTAATGACTGTGAATAGTAAAGTGCTCACTACTTACTTGTAAAACCTACTACTTGATTGGATATTGAGATATATTCACATGGTTGATAGCCCTAGTCATTTTGCACATATGTATTCAATAAAGTACATTCTAGTCGATCTGAAGATGTTAGACAATCCTAGAGGAATATAAAATCAGTAAGTGGATGGAACTGAACTAACTGTTGATATCATTTATTACCTAAGGTAGTATATACTTGGAAAAACGGATCTCTATTCATTTTCTTGATAAACACCTCAAGATAAACATGATCGATGTTGAAATATTGTGCCACTGGCTTCCATATCGCTGACTATTCGTTCGCCCTTAGACTGGTTTGAAGAAATGGTAAGATGGTCAATATATAACGTTACTTTACGCGATGAAGGATAGTTGTGTTAGATTGGTATCTGTAGACGTCTCAAACATCGTGGATCGGATCCAAAAGATCATACGACTGAATTACTTGAAACGATAACGGACATGGCTCATATTTCTTCGATTATTGAAAAGTAAAATGAATGTTTCCTTCAGATTCCTTATGTAATCCTCCCTTTTCTGTTTCTGTTTCCATTCTCTGTCTTCTTAATGTTGCTTCATTATGTTGTATGGCGTATCCCTTGGTGCTCAAGTTGTACCAGGCTTGTGTTTTAATGATAGTAATAATAATAACCATTATTATTATTATTATTAGTGTTGGAATTAAGCTTTTGTTCATTTTATTTCCAGTTCAATTTTAACAGTATTCCGAAGCCAACAAATATGTACGAATGGGTTTGTTTACAGTCAGCTATGTCCAGTGTTGGGACACGCTATTTTCCACCACCATCAGCAATTAAATCTGTTGGTTTGCAGTCAGGTGGATTGTATCATGTTCGACAGGGAAGTGGTCGTATTCGTACAACAAGTACCGGTCAACTTGGTGGATATAGTACTACAGAATCCACTGTTGTAACAACTCAACCACATCAAGTTCACTTTTATACTGGAGGTTCTCAATCTAGTTTAAATAATGCAGGTACTGGTTGTTCAAACTCACCTACATTGGATACACGAATACAACGTGACCAGTCTTTAGCTGGAGTTGGTGGAGGGGGTGGCGGTGGCGGTGATAGTTCCTCTGCACACGAATCAACAGTTTTTGATTATTATGAGTCAGCATTTTTAGAGATAATTAAACGAGCCATCCAAGATATACATTTATTACGGTTTGGTCCAGATTCGCAAATTTGCTCTACTACCAAACAACAATCAGATGCTTCCAGTGAACTGAATTATGTTCGTGCGTGAGTACACGTCATTGTGAATAGAATTTCTTATCAGTTCACTTTTGTTTTGATATCCAATAAGTGTTTAATGCATGAAATTGGTAAAACCTACTGCCAGAGATGTTTAAAATGGTTGACACTTCTAGATTAGTCACATAGCTGAAAGGAAATCTGATTGTAACTGGTTATACACAGCCGCCTTTTCGATTATGTTGGATACATCTGGAAAAATCATACTATCTGCAAGAGAAGATTGTAGGGCGAGAGCAAGTCTCCTCTTACTTTTCCCCTATACAAAGGAATTTATCAGCATAGTCTACTGGTCATCTGTGGTAAGCACTATACTCGGTGTCACGTCTTCTAGTCATCAGTATGACTTCACCTCTACACCGAGATCATAGCATAGTTATTCACACTATAACGGCAACTAATTTTGGCTTACCACTATGCAATAGACCTTTCTAGCACATAGTAGGTACTCGGAGGAACAAGCATTCCAACCGGCACTACTTGTTGAATCATTCTGATATCCAAGCTGGACTACTATATCAAGACACAGCAGCTATCTGTAGGAATTGAGAAATAGTAGTGGTTTGTTTACTGTGATTAGAGGCTAGGGGGTGCGGGATGAGGTAAGGTGAGGTTGAGTATACTACTTGATGAAAAGATTTAGAACACAAATCAGTCAGCAGAGTGCAATTGGTCCAACTTTCAATTCACAAAATACTTAGCTTTGACTGAAATCTATTCATCAAGTTTCTATTTTTCAATCAGGCTAAATAAAGTGTTTTCTTTGAAGTGTCAACTTTCATTCTAAGCTTCGTACTCTCTCTCCCTCTCTCTCTCATTAAGTCTTAGCTTCTTGACACTTGATTTCTACACCATATCAAAACAAACAATTTTTTTTAAACACAAAGTTTGAAGCGAATACTCATTTTCGGTAGATTATCGTCAGGCTTTGAAATTACATTTACAACTTATTCAGGATAGTCCTCATTTGATACCAACATAGTTAAATTCGGGTATATAAATAACAAGATAAGAACAGTAAAGGTGGTATTGACGAAACCAAACCTCAGTAGTCAATCCGTTTGTGTTGGTTGGTTCGCTGCTAGCCAGGCAGCCAGCCAGAGTTTCTCCTGGCTTATTCTTATTATTCTAGCCATCTGATCGATCTTCAGTGTCAGTATGGAGTGAGCGTAGGCGGCGACAGCTGTTGATGATGTATGTCTGCAATCGTTTTTTGGAAATACTTTTCGTGACACACTAAGTTTGTGAACAAAGTAGTATATAAGCAGTGACTTACTTGACTGATATTAGTGTTGAAAATGGTGATATTGTTGATGCTGTATACTGGGTGTAGTGTAGTGTAGTGTAGTGTAGTGCAGTAGATCTCCACACTGATTATTTAAGATTAATGCAGGAAGTCCTGTGTTGCTGTGTTTTCGATTGTATGTTTGACATGCTGATGTGTATCGCCACCTGTATTTGAAAGGATGCTGCCTATGTAGCTATGTGGGTGAAAGAGACAACTTTGTTTAGATTTCTCCTGTTGATGTTGATTGGTGCTTGTTGTTGTTATTGTTGTTAGTTGAATATCTTTACCATCTGTGTCTTCTCTACATTCACATGAAGGAATTCCTGTCTTCCTTCGCTGCCTCACCTCACCTCTTCTGCTAACGTGTTAGCTTTCGACTGTAGATCTTCGAGTTTGCGTGACATAAAACATTAGATATAAATCATCATCATCATCATCATCATCATCATCATCATCATCATCATCATCATCATCATCATCATCATCATCATCATCATCATCATCATCATCATCATCATCATCATCATCATCGGTGGCTAAATCCAAATCCTCCCGTAGGATCTTTTCATAAGTGCAGTCAGAGTATGCCCATCTTCTCACTCCTCACAGTTTGTTGCATGATCCAGCCAATTGCAACTTGCCATAGCTCATATCACTACATCAAGTAAACACGACGGTCAAGTGCAAGATGAAGAAAAGAAAATCCTGATGAGGATAATGTATATATATATATATATACGTCTGCCCCCCACTGACATCGGTTCTCAGGCATGCCATCACCTAGAATCAATCTCCAACCATTGCTTCCTCTTATCCCACGGACCCCAACCACCTAGTCTACATCACCCCACAAGGCTCAGACAAACAGTCAGAGGTTTCATGCATTAGTGCCATGTTTTAGTGTGCTCACCACGAGTCTTTGTCCAGCCTGAACCTACTTCGGCTAACATTGTGTGACGAGGAAGACGGTGACTAGGCATACGTAGTATGTGTCGGAGCCAACCATCTCAGTCGGTGAAGGTTCACAACAACTGTATCAACTGATTTACCTCTTCTCCCTAAAACTCTACACCTGATCCTGACTTGTGCTTTACTCAGGTGTTGACACCACAGAACACGGGCAATGCTACGAATAATACGAAGGTAGAGGTGATCAAACATCTGAATCCTTGTCATGTCTTCCACCTTCAGTGACCATGTTTCACAGCCATACAGTAGAGTAGAACCTACCGAGGTTACGCTGTATCACGATGTTATAAAAGTAGGAAAGTATGAATGACTGGATTCTGTCCAACCCTCGGTATTTCTGCTGTAACGTGTCGTAGCTTAGATAATCATTGATGGAGTTATGCATGGGCAGTACTGGGGTGTTCCATCTTTAGACGAAACAGCTGTCGAATACTCCCATTGTTTCTATCTCTCTCCAAATATAAAATATAAAAAAACCAAACTTTTGTAAAATTATACTATGAGTGAGTTTAAAGACGCTGCTAGCATCTGATGAGGCAGCCAAGTATACTTCTCTATTTTTTGGAAAAGTACTTTCTCAGTCTAAATACCAGAGGCTGATTAGTCATTTCATCAGTTGCTATTGTCACCTTTAGTGTCTGCCATATCTACAGTATGGAATTAAAAAATTTGATTACTTGGGGTAGGATGGATGGCAAGGAATTTATGCACCCTTAATTAGGCCACGGTAGTTGTAGTGGTAATTACTTGTTTTTTTTTGAGCATATAACGTCGGTTGTTTGATCCTAATTTCTACTGCTCCTGGCAAGTTGATGGAAACTCAGTAGAGAATAGAAAACGACTTATCTTATATCCACTTTATGGTTAGTTTCAACCAAGTGGTCTAATATGAAGCTGGTAGCAGTTTTGCCACACCTTAACCTAACCACACTGAGAGGTGTTCTTGAGCATAGAATATTAGATTCTTAGAGCAGTGACAGATATAACTAGTTCCACAGGAACAGTCGAACTGATGAACGCAACAGGAAGTGAACAGTCTAGGCAATTCATCTCAGTTTTACTTGAGTAATGTGAAAGTACACATTTTTCTAACTTGTTTCAACATCTCGCCTTTATTTATACGCTGTGTAAATTTTCGTCTTTCTCTCCTTTTGATGATATCAGTTCATCTTTTGTATTGCTTTAAAAGTTGCTGTACACTAATTTAGATAATTATTTAGTTAATGGTAGTGTATAAGGCTTGTTTAACACTGACGACAACTTGATATGACAGTTTAAAAGAGTGTAGAATGCGTCAACCACCAATTGGGTTATAACTAAGTGGTAACATTTATGGTTTCACAGCTGAGGCTAGTGAAGCAGATTCTAATTACAAAGTAGACATCACTTCATGCAAGGTTAACAGATACTTGTAGTGTTTCCTATTGATGATTTCCAACTGCCTAAAAGGATAGTGCCTCTGCGACGTTTATCCTCATTGTAGTGAATCGAGTTTTTTTTGAAGCATCTCTCATCTAGGCTTATCCAGCTTTCTGAATTCTACTCATACTCTTCTTAACTTCAATTTAAACAGTCACTTGTTTTATTTAACTCTCCATGTTTCTTCAAAGTTATCCGATAACCGTACTAGTGAGCAACACGAGACCTGATCTGGTCGCCAATTTCAGTTGTTTTTTTCTTCTAAAATACATTTTATTTTATATCACTCTTACCTGTTTTCATTTTAGACACACTAATCGTTTGTCAGAATTGATTACTATGGTTAATGCTTGTTCAAAATCCAATTATGACGAAATGACTGCTGCGTCTACACATCCTTCGACGGAGTCATCAGCTATGCCTGGCGTACAACATCTCCTGGTCGATTCTTCAAAGACTGTTGCTGCTGCTACAGAAAGAGCGAGAACATCTTCAATCTCATCATTACTATCATTAAATCTAACTCGTGAGCATGATATACATTTGATTAGTATTCGTGATGCATTAGATCCGGGCTATTTTAGTCAACGTCTTTCACAATTAGATCCATTAGCCTGTGAAGCTATTGATTTAGCAAGAAGAATAATTGGAATTGAACAGGCTGCTACCAAAGCATTTCAACAAATTGTTCAACAGAAACTGGTGAGTAGTCCTCTTTTTTGGACATATTTGTATTTGTTATCATCGTCACCAATAACATAGGACCAGGCTTTACTGCGCAACGGTCCAAATTGCCACACCCCATATCAGTATACCAACGAAAAAGGCAATGAAGTAGAATACGAAGAAAAGAAAATCCTGATGAGGATACTGTGTATATGTGTATACATCTGCTCCGCACTCACATCGGTTCTCAGACATACCATCACCTAGAGTCACTCTCGAACCACTGCCTCCTCTTGTCCCACGCACATCAGTCAACTAGTCTGCATTGCCCCACAAGGCTCAAACTAACAATCAAAGACTTCATACATTGGTGTCATGTATTAGTCTGCTCGCCACGAGTCTTTCCCAAGCCCGGGCCTATTTCGGCCAACATTGTGTGACGAGAAAGATGGCGACCAGACATACATAACTCATACCAACCATTCCATTCGATGAAGGTTCACAACAACCGTGTCAACTGATTTACTTCTTCTCCCTAAAACTCTACACCTGATCCTGACTTGTGCTTTACTCAGGTGTTGACACCACGGAATACGGGCAATGCTACGAATAATACGAAGGTAGAGGTGGTCAAACACCTAAATCCTTCTCATGTCTTCCACTTTCAATGAGCATGTTTCACAGCGATAGAGTAGAACAGAGTGTACTGCTGTGTAGTACATGCGACCATTACTGGATAATCCGATAACAGGGCGGCGCTGCAGGTGACAGAAGTCGTCAAAAACCAACCTAAGAAGAATTTCCATTATGTTTTGTTTCCCTAATTTTTAGCGACATTGTGGCTTAGGGATAGTCATTGAATAGCAGCCAGTTTTTCTCTCTCTCTCTCTCTCTCTCTCTCTATATATATATATATATATATATATGATGTGCGTTGGGATGCTATCGGTAGAATATTGTGGATTCAGGCGTTTTGTCTTGTGTGGACACTTTTCAACAGTGAATAATTTCATGTGTTTCCTCTACGATATCGACTATTGTGTAATCAATAACCACTTCGAGTAGAACTGCTCAACTGTGACGCTAGTGGTTTCAAGAGATGACTATCAGCTAGTGGGTCGCGTTTTAGAACCTGTTTGCATCTACCGACGTTTAGGCATGTATGTAGGTGTGTATGTTTGTACATAGAAGGCATTTCTGTGTATGCTTTAAACGACAGATTGGCTGGAAGTTGTGTAGTTTTCATTCGTTGTCAATATCGTCGAATGTTATTGTGCTCAAGCTTAAATATTCACCTTTATTCTTTCTCTGTAGAGCTTAGTTAACCTGACGTAGTGTTATTTTAGTTTTCAAGGTTAAAGTCTTTTGTATGTATATTTACACTGTTTCCATCCACTGTGAATTGCTTCTCATTTATAGCACACATAGGTTAAACTTTGATCATTCGTTTATTTTATAATTTACCTTGATTATATATTATATTATTATTTATTATTCGTTCCTTGGGTTCTTAGTGGAACATAGGGATTCAGTGGCACGTCTCCAGTGAACTCTGTTCTCTGAAATCTTTTGGACCTGGTACCTCGACAGCCTCCACGTCACCCTCGGACGCCCAACTCGTCGCTTCCCATCTGGGTTCCACTCGAGTGCCTGACCTGACGCGTGATGTCCCCGAATGGTCTTCTCAGTGTATGCCCAATCCATCTCCACTTCCTTCTGCATATTTGTTGGGTAATAGGTTCTTGGTTGGTTCGTTGCCAGCCAGCCAGATTTTCTTGTTGCTTATTCTTATTATTCTGGCCATCTGAGCTTCAGTAACGAGCGCAGGCAGTTGTTAATGAATGTCTGCAGTTTATTGGAAATGCCTTTCGTAACGTGCCAAGTCTCTGAACGATATCGAAGCACTGACTTGATGTTGATGTTGAAAATCCGGATGTTGTTCACGGTTTATGCTGAGTGCAGAAGATCTCCATACTGGTTTCAGGTTAATGAAGGCCTGTTTTGGTGCCTTTGCGATCCTGGCTTTGACGTTCTCGTATGTGCCGCCGCCGACTGTAGTTGTAACGATGCTGCCTAGGTAGTAGATAAAAGAGGATACTTCCTTTAAGTTTCTCCGGTTGATGATGATTGGAGCTTGTTGGTGGTGTTGGTTGGGTACCTTCATCACCTCTGTCTTCTCTACATTCGCTTGAAGTCCCGTCTTCGTTGCCTAGCCTCTTCTGTCAATTTGTTAGTTTTCGCTTGTAGATCTTCGAGTTTGTGTGACATTAGACACAAGTCATCGGCGAAATTCAAATCTTCTAGGATCTTCTCCGACGTCCAGTGTATGCCCGTCGCATCGCTCCTCACTTTTTGTTGCATAACCCAGTCCACGACAATTAGGAAGATCATCGGTAATATATAGTAGATAGTCTTGTCTTACTCTTGTCTTCACTTCAACGATATCACTGAGCTTCCCACAGTGAAATACTTGATTGAGAGGGTTAAAATAGGCGACGGTTTAAGTTAGCGATTGTTTTTTTAGTTGTTTATGCCTATAGGTGATAATTACTTAGGCTAATGATAGTTCTACAACTTATCATATATCTCTCTCTTTCCTTATTTTGAACTGCAATCAAAAAGGTTTCTTTCACAGTCAGACAAGCAGATATACTAAATCGATGTAGAACCTTGCATACAAGTGCATTGACTGAAGTTGCCACACATTACAGTACCAGTCACTGAAGTGGATACACGAAATTTTGTTAGGGTAATGTTTTGTGCGAATATTCAAGGAGTGAATACGTCTGCACCATATCACCGAGGGTCATCAACCACTGACTCCCATGGTCTCCAGGACTCCAACCACACAGTTAATCTTCACCCCATACGACTCAGATCAACAGTTAAACTTGATGGATTGGTAACACGTCTTGGTCTGACCACCCTGAACCCTCCCTTTTTCAACTGAATCCAACTGCCCCTAACATGATATGTCTAGGTAGTCGGTGACTTGGTATGCGTAGTAAATGTCCGATTCATCTCAATCGACTAAGGTTGGCAACCTCACAAACCGACTTAACTGTCTTGCTTAGTAGCCTTCGTGTGACCTCGATATGTTCGACACAGGGATTGCACGAAGTAGGAGGAAGGATGGGAAGAAACCTGTGATTAAAACCGTGTAGTTGCTTCGTTTTTTTCCTTTTAACAGCCATGTCTCACAGCCGTTGAACAGGATAGAACGAACTGGAGCACAGAGTACTCGTCGTTTGATAAATGGTCGGATATCACTCCAGTCAGCGCCATAGGTTACTCAAGTTGCAAATGCCAAAAGTGCCTGGTGTGTCTGAGCTGAGATTTCGTCACCAAATAACTCATTCGTCTTGTTGCAACTTTCCAAGTGTGTAAGTGAAGTGTTCGACATATTCCACCGATTCACTCCATGTTGATAAGCTGGGAGTGGTTCCCGACTAAGTGCTAAGCGTGTAGAAGACCCGGCGTGTTACCATTAAAAACTTGGCAGTGATGGACACTTGTTTCATTTATTTATAGGACATCCTAGGGGTATTATTGACGTCCTCGTGAGGCGTCTTCCCTAAAACTGTTAGATCTTGTGATTTCCAAGTTACCATACAGTCACAGCTGTGGAACATCAAGCTGGAACGAAACATTTGTTAGACCTTCAATGTTTGCATTAGCTGATAGTTAGTCGGAGTTTACCGGTAGAAAGCCTTGGACCTGGGTTTCATGCTTGTTGGCAGACGTCGGCAAGTCGTATCTGCAAACTACACAGAAGACTGATTGAACTAGATTTCGTTGTTTGTTTGCGCTCATCGCCATGGTGTATCCTTGACCTAAATGGGACTGATTGTGGTGAGTATTTGAAGCTCCAGAGTAATAGATGTTAAGTATGAGTTATTCTCATAAATGTGATTTTAAGTCGGCTAACATTTCAACGTCATTCTAGACATCATCATGAGTAACCCTGCTCCACCTACCGAGGTTTGGATCGTCAGGTATTATCACTAGCCGTCACACAATAGGCGTCCCTCATAGCCTACTCGATGGATATGCACAAGGTAGCTGGGTGCGTCATAGTGTTCACAGAACAACTGTGTGTCGGGAGGAGGACTTATCAACAGCAGACGTTATCGTATCGTATCGTAACCAATATAACTTAACAAGGAACATTAATGATTCTTCATTGTTTTCAGTCTTCCAAAGGATCAGCTAGTTCACTTTAACGAGTACTCATGATTTTTCTTTAATACTGTGTATCGACCAAATTTTCACACTGCGCCAGTTTCTGGAACACAGGCGTGGTTACCGACTCCCAACAATAGCCGTATTCCCTGACCTGAAGCGTTCGACTTCATAGATCGAGAAGTTTTATAGCAATGTCTCTTACAGTTAGGCGTATCGAGTAAGTACATTATGTCATTAAAGGCTCTCTTGTCCAAGACTTGTGGGCATGTTAGAGCCAATGATGATATATCGGAATGGTTGTACTCGTCGAACGATGTCTGCTAAGACTGCCCACTCTGTCCATTTCTATTCAATTTCACCATAAATATTCTTATGTAGGTCTCTCTCTCTCTCGTCACCTGACCACACAGAGTTTGACAGAATCGCGGCTGAATTTGCATTAGACCTAGAATACGCAGATGACATAGTCTTGATAAATAAGATGCGGAGTCTTCTGAACACTGAGTGGCAATTTGAGAATGCTTGGGATGCATTTATCATCACTCAAATGCAAATCCTTACTTCACGATTGATCTTCAGCGGTGCCTTGGCTAACAACAGAGAGTGTAGTGGTTGAGTGTGTTGACCACTTCACTTACCTGGAAAGTGTAATCAGCCCTGGTGGCTAGCTGTGACCGATGAAATCTCTGCATGAATACAAAAGTCTCGGTAAGCTTTTGCCAACCTATGCCTCCTGTGACGTGGCCGTAATATATGATTGTCTATTAAGGGTTACGTGTACTGCACAACAATCCGGTCTGTTCTACTCTATCGCTGTGAAACATGGTCACTGAAGGTGGAAGACATGACAAGGATTCAGATGTTTGATCACCTCTACCTTCGTATTATTCGTAGCATTGCCCGTGTTCTGTGGTGTCAACACCTGAGTAAAGCACAAGTCAGGATCAGGTGTAGAGTTTTAGGGAGAAGAAGTAAATCAGTTGATACAGTTGTTGTGAACCTTCACCGACTGAGATGGTTTGCTCCGACACATACTACGTATGCCTAGTCACCGTCTTCCTCGTCACACAATGTTAGCCGAAGTAGGTTCAGGCTGGACAAAGACTCGTGGTGAGCACACTAAAACATGGCACTAATGCATGAAACCTCTGACTGTTTGTCTGAGCCTTGTGGGGTGATGTAGACTAGGTGGTTGGGGTCCGTGGGATAAGAGGAAGCAGTGGTTGGAGATTGATTCTAGGTGATGGCATGCCTGAGAACCGATGTCAGTGGGGGGCAGACGTATATATATATATATATATGTATATATATATATATATATATATATATATATATATATATATATATATATATATATATATATATATATATATATAATCCTCATCAGGATTTTCTTTTCTTCATCTTGCACTTGACTGTCGTGTTTACTTGATGTAGTGATATGAGCTATGGCAAGTTGTACCGTTACGCAGTAATACCTGGTCCTATGTTTTTTTGAATGGATGGATGGATTCTTTAATACTTTCTGCCAGGATCATGCCAAAATGATCAGCTACCATGGAATGACGAACTCATTTAATCACCTTTCAGTAAGGGTTTCGTTTTCATTGTATTGTATTGTATATTCCTGTTGCTTCTTTTTTTTTTAATGTAGAATTCATTACTCCAGACTAAATTTACAGAGAATACTGTGAATTCACAAGAATTGATAATTGCATTCAATCGACTATGTGAAATTTTGGGTATTATTATGCAGAGTAAACTTCTATTAGCGAACAACTTATCTGATCGTCAACGGTAAGTTGTTTGATTGAATATGTTAAGTCTATTGATTGTAATGGTTGATTTTCTGCTTTACGAGCTCTAGCCTAAATACTATGTTGCTTTCTCAGTGCACCTATCTCTTCGTAACTTTTATTATCGTGTGTTAATACCAGACATCCTGTCTCTTTCTCTTTTTCTAACGTTATTTGAAACTTTTCTACGGATTACTTGTGAAACGATATGGTAATAGCATTCACAATGGTCTCAATATACTTATTCCTCATAATGAATGAGCTTTCCAAAATAATTAAATTATATCAAGAAGGAGAATCGAAATATTACTAAAATATTCAGGGAAGATATATTTGTATATGTGAACATCTGATAAACTCAAGCAGACTGAAACCAGATACAAAAGAAAACCCCGATTCATACAATGTAACAGTGATGTGTAATTTATCCAGCAGGTAACTAAATGAACACGAAATGATATGATTGAAGAAAAGCGCTGACCTGAGGCTTGATGTCTCCAAAAAAGTCTTCTCGGTGTACGCCCAATCCAATCCACTGGAATCCATCTCTACTTTCTTCTACTTCATATTTGTTGAGCAATAGGTTGTTGGTTGGGTTGGTTCATTGGCAGCCAGCCAGAGTTTCTCCTGGCTTATTCTTATTATTCTAGCCATCTGATCCATCTTCAGTGTCAGTATGGAGTGAGCGTAGGCGGCGACAGCTGTTGATGATGTATGTCTGCAATCGTTTTTTGGAAATGCTTTTCGTGACGCACTAAGTTTGTGAACAAAGTAGTATATAAGCAGTGACTTACTTGACTGATATTAGTGTTGAAAATGGTGATATTGTTGATGCTGTATACTGGGTGTAGTGTAGTGTAGTGTAGTGTAGTGTAGTGTAGTGCAGTAGATCTCCACACTGATTATTTAAGATTAATACAGGAAGTCCTGTGTTGCTGTGTTTTCGATTGTGTGTTTGACATGCTGATGTGTATCGCCGCCTGTATTTGAAAGGATGCTGCCTATGTAGCTATGTGGGTGAAAGAGACAACTTCGTTTAGATTTCTCCTGTTGATGTTGATTGGTGCTTGTTGTTGTTATTGTTGTTAGTTGAGTATCTTTATCATCTGTGTCTTGTCTATGAAGTTCGGCAACTTGAGGCGTGTAGAGTAAAATACTGAAGAGTGCTACTGAAATTTATGAATTCAATAACTCCTGCTTTCATTACATTTATTGCTTGTTATAAATATATTTTGATGTGAATTTAAAAAAATCCATATATTCTACTGAAGAAGCTGTGGCAAACATCGGGAAACCTGCGTATTATCTAAGCACACGCTGGAATTATATTAAAATATATTCGTATAACCATTTGCGTTGTTATTTCTTCCTCTGATATAGTAATATGCTACTGATTAATATGAATAGTTTAAAAATCGCTGTTACAATATATCATCAAGCTGTACAAAGTAGCTTTGAATAGCTCCTAGTTTTGTGTAATTGATTTCAATTGAATACAAAAAAAGTGTAGATCCTCTCCACCGTATACATAATAATTTATGTCAACGATTCATTTCTCTTCTTGTTTTAATTTATTTGTTATTCATTGAAGCTATAAGATCGATTTTATTATGAATGAAAAACGTATAGTTTTAACTTTTCACGCTATTTACTCATGCTATTATTAGAGAGAAAAACAGTTTATCTGTTAAAAACTCCAATTCAGACTATGTAGTAATGTAATAAAATTTTCACAGTGACAATTGTTTGGTCGAAATCATTTGATTTGTGTGTGTGTGTGTGTGTGTGTGTGTGTGTATGTGTGCACACACACACACACCATATGGTTACAAATCAATGTTAATACCCAGGTGAATTAATGGTGATCTTTAATTGTATTTTTTTGCTTCATCGGTCCATATGATATTTATGCTGCATTGAAATGAATATAATTGTGTTTGAAATACTCATATTACACCTCCCACCTTATATGCTATATAAAAATAACATCCAGTCTGTTATATTGATTTTGGTGTCTAACAGAGGAATCCAGGGCGTACATTTCGAGCAATTCGTCACCGTACAGCAACTGGAAATTACAAGAATCAATACAACAACTAATACCTGTTGCACAAGAAGGGGATATTGTACCCCAGTAGCTTAATGGATAGCATTCTGGAGTTTAAAGCGAAGGGAACACAGTGGAGTGCAGGTACATGCAGCTGACGAGTCCAATAAAGGGCGAAACGCGCGTGCTGGATTCCTCTGCTAGTCACCAGGATCAATATAACATCGTGGATATTTGACAGTATCGAGGCATCCGCATGGAAGCTCATCTGCCAACAGAGGTTGAGAAACTCGGCCCTGTATAGCGACGGGAAATCACAAGTGTCATTACAACAGCCAGTCTGGATGATGATGGTGATGATGAGTTCTGTATATGTAATTGATTGTTGATGATATTCTATGTGGAATATAGTGGAATTTCAGTTCATCGGTTTAGGAAGATGACTTTCAAACAATGCGTCAAGAACTCGAGTCCTGCTCTGCCTATTGAGATTTGGTTAGCCAAGTAGTACTGTATGATTAGCATACACACCAATAGGTGTGATTCATTCTCAATGAAGTACTTAACCGTTGCTCATGTGAAGAGATGTAGACTGCCTGGCTGGGGTCCACGAGACTAGTGGCTTAGGATGTATTCATTTCTTGACATCTAATACTTAAATATTTGCACCAACCGTTATCTTCAGATTTTTTATTCTCTCACACAACTTTATCTTCTTTGATATTACTCTACTATCCACCTGTTCTTCGTTTACTTTTGTTATTATTATTATTTGTCCTTTGGGTTCCTAGTGGTTCCTAGTGGATTCAGTAGCACGTCGCCATTTCACTCTCTTCTCTTCAGTCATTTCAACTTGGCTCCACCACTGACCATGACCTTTCATTCCTTCCTCATACCATCTCCATGTCACCCTCGCTTCGGACGCCCGACTCGTTGCTTACCATTTGAGTTCCACTCGAGGACCTGGCCTGACACGGAGCGTGATAATCACAAAATTTCTTTTCAGTGTATGTCCAATCCAATCCATTCGAATCCATCTCCACTTTCTTCTACTTCATATTTGTTGAGCAATAGGTTGTTGGTTGGGTTGGTTCATTGGCAGCCAGCCAGCCAGCCAGAGTTCCACCTGGCTTATTCTTATTATTCTGGCCATCTGATCCATCTTCAGTGTCAGTATGGAGTGAGCGTAGGCGGCGACAGCTGTTGATGATGTATGTCTGCAATCGTTTTTTGGAAATGCTTTTCGTGACGCACTAAGTTTGTGAACAAAGTAGTATATAAGCAGTGACTTACTTGACTGATATTAGTGTTGAAAATGGTGATATTGTTGATGCTGTATACTGGGTGTAGTGTAGTGTAGTGTAGTGTAGTGCAGTAGATCTCCACACTGATTATTTAAGATTAATACAGGAAGTCCTGTGTTGCTGTGTTTTCGATTGTATGTTTGACATGCTGATGTGTATCGCCGCCTGTATTTGAAAGGATGCTGCCTATGTAGCTATGTGGGTGAAAGAGACAACTTCGTTTAGATTTCTCCTGTTGATGTTGATTGGTGCTTGTTGTTAGTTAGATATCTTCGTAACCTTTGTCTTCTTTAGGAAGTGTGGCAAGTTTTGCTGATGTATTTCCTATGCAAGGTTCAACGTTGATTTTGTCAGTCAGTTAGCAGCGTGGTTCGAACGCTTCCCTTCAGCAGTTTGTTAATTTACTTTTCTGTGTGAAGAGAAAGGAACAAGATAAATGAGCAACCATTATGCTTGTTTTATATACACTATGCTGGTCACAATCATTAATTTATCGAATACAAATCTTGATGATATATATATATATATATATATATATATATATATATATATATATATATATATATATATATATATATATATATATATATATATCCGTGTATATGAGCAGTGAGTACACAGGCGACAAATACATTTGTTCTCACATGACCAATCGATGAAAAATCTCTGTAGCCTAAGAGAAATTGCAAGAGGTGTTGTTTTTTCTCTGATGTGTCTCCTAGCTCAATCATCATAAGTCTAAGCCTGTCGTTCCAACCTCTGTGTTCAAAATTATTGCTGCCCTAGAACGATCAGAAAATGAAATGTTTTGAGTAACATCTTTTTTGGTATTTTAAGCCTGTGCAAAAAAGTTGTGGAGCCTTGCTGAATAAACATTTTCTAAAGGGCCAATCTGCGACGTATATATGGATTAATTTTCTACCCTATTGTCAGTTCCTTAGTACAGTAAACGTATTGAGGTCTTTCCTGCTTTCTCCTTTTTTTTTCACTTGCCAGACGTTGAATTCTGTATCAGTGTATTGTGTCAAGAGATTCGTTCTTAGTGCTGCTAACTGGATTATGCTATTGGATACATGGAGTTACTTTTCAAGGTAAACTCTAACATGCGTAAGCAGATAGTAGTCTACTGAAGACTGACACTGGCTGACAAAAACAACGTAGAGTCTCGAACACAGGTGCATCGGCTGAAGTTGCCATACTTCGTGGTAGTATACAATAAACAGATGGTTGGAAAAAGAGTGATAACATAGTGGACGAACTATTGTGAGAGAATGAACATTTGAAGATAACAGATAGTGCGAGTATATTCAAGCTTCAGGCGATGTCAAGGATTTAGTACCATATCACCGAGGGTCACTAACCACTGACTCCCATGGTCTCCAGGACTCCAACCACACAGTTAATCTTCACCCCATACGACTCAGATCAATAGTTAAACTTGATGGATTGGTGACACGTCTTGGTCTGACCACCCTGAACCCTCCCTTTTCCAACTGAATCCAACTGCCCCTAACATGATATGTCTAGGTAGTCGGTGACTTGGTATGCGTAGTAAATGTCCGATTCATCTCAATCGACTAAGGTTGGCAACCTTACAAACCGACTTGACTGTCTTGCTTAGTAGCCTTCGTGTGACCTCGATATGTTCGA